ATACGTGCCGTTATATGATTTTAACATTGTAATGGAGTTTTCTCAAATGTAAGCCCAACACCCCTTAGGGGTGGGGGGCAATTTACGTGTTAGGGAGGGGGAGCAAATAAAAAATGAACTGTCTAGAATTTGAACACCAACCGTCTACTAAGAATTAACTTTTTTTTAAGGGGCATTGTTAGTCTCAATTTAAAATAAGCGTTATTTAATTATTTTTTTTTAAATCCGTTAATTTTAATAATAGTTAGATAGTTAGACAAAAAAAATAATGAAATTAGAACGGGTGTTGTTATATATTTAGCCTAGAAAACCGATGCGCTGGACATATTTTGAATCTTCCACTTAGAGCTATTTATAGCACTTCTCTGCATGTGAATAGTGTACAGCTTGCTTTTCAATTTAACATATAAATTTTAGCCACCACAACTGTCTGCTAGTAGAATGGCCTTGAAATTCAAGTCAACGTGTAAATGATACCCCTATTGTCTGGTGACAACAGTTTATTTACATTCGAATGCGTTCCATTTGATCTCCAGAATGTCAATAGGTGACGCAATATCTGGATGTTTCTGTACTAGAACGTTGGGATTTAATTCATACATAAAGCCGAGAGGTTTCCTAGTAGTTTGAGTATTGTGCCTTTATTTTCCAATCGTTGCGTTAAGGTGATACACTCTTTGCCTTTTGTGCTCACATTTGCATTTGCATAGAAATATATTGATATATAATTAAATTACATTTTAGTATCGGTGTCGTTTTTTATGTGCATACTTTTAGATCAGTATTTTGTTACGTATTGCTATGAATACGGGCCATCTATTATAATTAACACAGATTTAATCTTTATAACCATAACGTTATGCAACACGTGCGTTTTCTGTTTTGTGTGAAAATAAGCTTTTATAAACATTTAGTACTAGCAAAAATAATTGAGTATGAATATTAAGTAGTAAGTTTGCGTTGTTGGTCTTTTTTTTTTTATATCTATTGCTTTTATTTTTTAATTATTTGTTTCTATTATTTACATTTTCTTGGTAATTTTCTTTCAGCCTCACAATAAAAGCTTTCAAACTTTAAAGAACATTTTTTTTTTTAAAGAACAATCTTAAAGTCTTTGTTTACTGCTCATACTGCAACTGCCAATCGTAATCCTGAGGTTAGTTATGAAATGGCTTTACTCAATGCTAAATCTGGGGGAAATCATAATATAGGAGAGAATTTTAATCAAAGCACCAATATCAACATTTCTGTTTCTGTTTCCAGAACAGATGACAAAGACCTAAAACCTATGCCACTTAGTAACACTAATGTTCGCAAGCAATAGATGAAATGAGTGAATATATTGAAATAAAACTTGCTGAAAAGCTGAAAACAAAAATAAATTCTCAGTGCAAATGAATGAATAAACTTTGAGAGACAGTGAGGCCGTAATGATAACTTACGTAAGAAATATTGATGAAGGAGAGTTAGCTGAAGAACCAATACTGCCAAAGATATATAAAATAAGCTTAAAAAATTACTTAGATGCCAATATTATACCAATAAAAATATAATATCTTGTGTTGCAGATGGTGCTCCTAACATGATAGGCATGAAAAATGACTGCTTAAAATTGAGAAGGAAGGAAACCAAGAAATGCTTCTTGTTTAATGTGCTTTTCGTAGGAAAAATCTTGGTCGCTTTTTTTTAAAATGTGCCTGTTCTTAATGAAGCACTAAATTCAATTTGAAGGGGTATCATCAACGCTTTAAAGGTAATGCCACCTGTGAGACTCTTCAAGCTATTTTGTGAAGAACAAGACGCGAACCGTGTGAGACTTTGACTTCACGCTGAAGTAGGGTGGCTCTCAAAAAGAAACTGCTTGAAAAGATTGATGTAACTGCCTGATACTCTTGGTGACTTTTTAAGTAAGAAACCTGAAATGAAGTATCTGTTAACGATCGATGTTAAAGCATGTGTGAGTTATGTAGTCGATATCTTTGGAAAAACTAGATATATTAAATAGCCCACTCCAAGGGACAAATAAACTCTTGTCGATGCCAAAGCGAAGATATTTTGGTTTCATTACCTTTATTGAATTATGTCAGCAATATTTTTGTAACAAAGATTTTGACAAATTTCATTGGCTAAAAAAATGTGAAGTGTCTGATACCGCTGTGCTTGTTATTGTAGATCACCTAAAAAAATTTTGTCAGCTGATTTAGAAGAACGATTGTGTGATTAAAAACAAATTGATTTTCAAACTTGGAAGATGCAGCCAATTTTATTTGATTTGTCGGATATTTCCAATATGCAATATCAAGGAGGACTCGCAGAAATGCCAAATGATGAGTCTTTTAAAACATTGTTAATATAAAAGAAGCGATGGCATGGCTTTACAAAGGAAATACGAGATCATGTGTGTCCAAAGTCCACCAACTGAGCAGGGCAGCCTTTGTAACTGTTTCCACATCCCCATCTAGCTGAATGTGGATTTAGTGCCATGTGTGATTCGCTGCTAAAAAAAAATAATTAGCTGGATATAACACAGCGAGAGACTTGAGATTGAAGCTATCTAGATTGGAGACTAACTAAATCGCTGAGCCGTATGCGTCAAGCGCACGTTTCTCTAAATTAGTTACCTCACACTGTATTTGTGATCTCTCATTTGTATTTGCGACCTCTCATTGTATTCTTAAAATATTAAATAATGAAGGATACAATATATAAAATGATAAATAATTAAAATATTTTAGGAAAATCTCTCATTTTGTACTTGAATTTCAGTTCATTCCATTTTATGTTTCGAAAATTGCTTAATTTGGCGCCTTAAATATTTCATCTTCCTAAAAGCTATCATTTAGTTTTCATTCGGTGACAATTTGAAATAAAGTTTTGAATATTAAAAATTATTGTATATATTACATTTAAAAAGGGGACTGGCATAAGCATTCTAGAAAGGCTTAAGTGGGGCCAGTGGCGTAGTGAGGGTGTTTGGCGCCCGGGGACAAGATTCGCGCCCGGGGACAAGATCCATCTTTAGCGCCCCTTTTTCTTTTTTTCAACTCTCAAACTCATTATTTTCATCAATAAAATATTATCAAAGCACATTTTGGCGCCCCTAACTAGCTGGCGCCCGGGGACGTCTGCCCCCTGCCCCCACCACGCTACGCCTCTGAGTGGGGCATGGCGCCAAAAATGGTTGGGAAACACTGATTTAATCTGTTTGAAGATTTGGCTTGTATAATTATTACAACTTAATAAGAAGACTGAGAAAAACTATAACGCACAAAAAGAAAGAAACCAAAGCTAGTGATATTAACAATATTCAACTTAATTACATGATTAAATATCGCTCAAAATACAAATTCAAATAGATAAAAACACACCCAAAAAAAAGCAAACTATATCAACCAACAGCACAGCAAGTGAAATGAAAATGTACAAACCTCGAAACGTACAGCTATTAATTTAAACACACGGATACAGCGTTCAATCTTAAAATGATATTACGTCTCGTATAATATGTCTAGGAAATATGGCCCCAAAAAAAAACACTCCCCGACTAGGACAGCTGCATTCCTATGTATATATCTAAGGATTAAATCAGAACCCTCTTAAGAATAAATTCTAGAAGCAGGGTCTCCGGAAGGCAATATTTTGAACAAATAGAGCGCTTTCGAATGTAAACAACCTTTTCCCAAAATCAAGGGACGGGGGAATGGGTAAAAGGAGTGGCACAGCATTTACTTGGTGACGTAAATTATCAAAACAAAAGAAAGGTGGCGATAAGTGGTGGCGATCACAACTCCAAAATTGGGCCATCACACATGCAATAACACACCTTTTTTTTTTTTTTACTTTTGCAGACTATAGACAATTATATATTCAGTCCACTGAAGCTATGTTTGAGCTGCAAATATAAAATTGCTTATTCAACTATTTAACATTTTAAGGACCTTAAATTATTGTTGATCATCTTATCACAATTAAATTCCGGAAAATGTACAATTTAAAATTCAATGCATACATTCTTTTAACTGCTGTAAAATGACATGCAGGTTCTAGGTCTATAACATGCAACATGACTTTATTTCCTTTTTATGTTGTGCATTGTAAAAAAATATATATTTATTTATTTTTCGCTCATTTTAATTTCTAATTGACTAATTAGCCGGAAAAAAATTATAAAATTTCAGCTTAAGTAAATTGCTTTAAATTTAGGGGTGGAAAAGTTAAAGAAAGAGAAGAAGGGTTGGAAGAAGGAAATAATTAAAAGAGACGACATAGGTTTGGAGAGTTGTGGAATTAGAGATTAATTTAAAAGAGACATAGCGTTGGAGAGATGCTGAATGTTAGAATAATCAAAAGTGACATAGGTTTGAAGAAAAGTGAAAGCATGGACCCTTCTCGAGGGACATAGCTTTGGAGCGAGGCAAAATTTGGTTTTGACATAGAGGGAGCAACTTGCGGGTAAGACGTCCAAAGATATGGCGTGAAGGGATGAAAAACTCAACAATGTGTTACCCACCGAGCTTTTAACATGTAGGTTCAAGATGGATGATTAATTTAAAATTAAAATCGCTGTGATTGACTGGCTTAGGACAAACATATAATGTATGGAATTTATGGTTTATGTGTGCAGAAAGAAATTGCATCCGAAGTCTTTCCCAAACACCATCGAAAACCTTCATTAAAAAATCCTTTAGAAGGGTAAAGCAATATCTTTGATCTTCTTTCAAAGACAGATTGAAATGTTGGTGCCCTCATCGCGATCCACGAAATGATGTGCTGATTAGCATATTCTTGTGTGTATAAATATGGGCTATCTTATCCACTGTAAAAAATTTCCCACTTGGAACTTAATGGGCAGTCTATAATAGTGTAATTACTCTAAAAAGTAATATTAACAATGACGATTCAAAACAACATGATTTCACCGAATTGTCCATACATCTTTTACAATTAGAATGGTTAAACAAAACTATTACTTAGCGTGACATACGCTGACTTGACAATGTTCATCTGCTGCGCCCACAGCAGGCTAACAACGTTGACCTGTAGCGTGTGTTGAACTTCAGGTAGACAAAAATGTTGCACGAGCAGTGTAGAAGTTCGAGCGTGCACCTCAATTCATTGGCCGCCAAATAGGTTCTGCCCAAACGACCAAAAAACCCATAATCTGGAATGCAGAGGATGACGTAGTAATTTAACAATTTTAACGTGTTGAACGAAACGAACAGAATGGACACGAAAGTAGTGGACTTTATGGCCATCAATTCTTTTCTGGAGGTGGCCTTGACCGGGACAGGAACAGAAGGGATATCTTCAATTGCGGTCGTATTTTTTCCAGAAAGTTTTGCGCCTGTAATTTTTCTATTAATATCTGTCGATTCTTTATTAGATTTGATCTTGTCGGACGTCAAATATTTTTTCAAATGCTTATCAGTGAATTTCGGTTTTTGAGTTTTAATCTCTGAAGACATCTGGTCGTTGCTGGCTATTTTGGTCGCCCTCCTGAACTTTGATGACGCTCGTAGGCTTGACGCGAGAACAATCAGACAGAAGATGACAATCATTTGACAGGTGTTGGTAAACACTAAAGATATGAGACCTACGGCAGAGTACAGCTTCCCACTAATTTCGAGCATCCACAATTGTTGTACTGTTCTATTCCTGACCGGGTCGAACACGTCCGCCAAACCTTGAGTCGTCAGAATCGGCATGTGTATAGAGAACAGCGCCAACGTAATGCCGGATAAGATAACGACTGTTCGCTTCTTTGTAAACGTGTTTTTGAAGCGAAAAGGCAGCGCGACACACCAGCATTTCTGTACGGCGATAAACGTCGTGATCCCTTGCGAGATGTCGTAGAAGGGGCCGTGGTAAGCCATGATGACGAAAGTCACGCTTCCGCCGTCGGTGTTCCATCTTTTGAGAAAATTTTCCGATAAGCTCGTAGAAGAGTTGGCCATGGCGTTCAGCAACAAAACAACCAGGTCCGAACACGACAGCACGAAGAAGCAGATGCTGATGCTGTCGTTCAGCCCAACCTGTAAATAGACGATCATGTTGATCAAATTGGCGATGACGCCGAGGAGAAGGATCGGGGGCTGAAGGACTTCTCCGTTCACAAAGGTGATCAACTCTGCCGTTTCAAACGAGGTAAAGTCAGGAAGAGTTATCTCTTGGTTGACCGTGGCGTTCATGGCCGCGGGCAGCTCGTCATCGGTTCTTGAGCCGCAAACACAAATGTCTTCTTACCGTTGAAAATTTAAATGATCAGATGGGGTTAATCAATAATTAACCGGAGAATAATTAAGCTGGAGAAGACTTGATTTTTCTGTCTTTTGTCGCTGAAATGCAAAGAATGAAATAGTTACAAGAGAGAAAGTGATTCTTAATGGTGAAGAAAAATTCTTTTAAAATGCTTTTATTAATGTAAGTATTCAAATAATGTATTTGAAGCGATGCGTGCCTTTCATTTAGCATCATTACTTAAAGACGAATCACATTAATTTCTAAATAAATGTCCTCTTACGAGATTTTTTTTTTGTTTTAATTCTTCAAAATAATAATTATTCTTAAAAACTATTCTAGCTCTCCTTGTATAGAAATTATTTTTTTTCTTAGAGCATTTTGCTTACAACTGCATTTAAATTAATTTGCATAAAGTTTATTTGAAAAAAAAAAGGGATTTTTTCTTACAATAAATGTGTATCAAAACATTTTTTTTTTTAACTTACAAATTTAAAAAAAATATTAACATGGCAAAATAATTGTACACAAAATATAACAGCAATCTTTCTTGATGGAACCCAAACTTAATCTAACATACAATCTAAGCCAGTCTAAGACCAGTGCCGTCATTTATGGGTTTTTTTCATGTGGGGTGGAGTGGAGAACCAAAACTTGGTCGGCTTGTTAAGCTGATTTATAACTGGAGGCGCCAAAGTATATTTCAATTTAAATAAAAACCTGGAAATTCGGGGGGGGGGGGG